GATGTTGATGATATTGATGATGTTGCTGATGATGATGGTGATGCTGATGCTGATGGTCATGATGATGGTGATGGGTGATGATGATGAGGAGGAGGATTATAAGAAGGAGGATAATAAGACGGAGGAGGGAGAGGAGGAAGATGAGCCAGATGAGGAGGAGTAGGAGGAGGAATAGGAGGAGGAGGAAGAGGAGGTGAGGGAGGAGGAGCAGGAGGAGGAGGAGGAGGAGGAGGTGGAAGAGAAGGAGGAGGAAGAGGAGGAGGAGGACAATGAGGAGGAGGAGGAGGAGGACGAGGACGAGGAGGAGGAGGAGGAGGCGGAGGAGAGGAGGAGGAGGAGGAGGAGGAGGAGGAGGAGGAGGAGGAGGAGGAGGGAGGAGGGGGAGGACGAGGAGGAGGAGGTGGAGAAGGAGGAGGAGGAGGAGGAGGAGGAGAAGGAGGAGTGGGAGGAAGAGAAAGATGAGGGTGCAGTGGGAGAAGGATGGGTGGATGGAGCGAGTGAGAGAGGGGGGAAGCAGTCTAGGTGTGCTGGCGCCATGTCTGACATCCTCCCCCTCCTAGCCGTACGATGATTTGTCAGTATCCGCCGACCGGTGCCATAGCCGACCTGGAACCACCAAGATGACACCATCGTGTATGCGCGATCAGAGAGGGTAGCTGCTGTGCAAGCTGAAGGAGGACCGGAGGCGGCACATGGGCAGATGGATGGGCGGGGGGGCGAGGTGGAGGAGGAGGACGAGGAAGGAGGCGGAGGAGGAGGAGCATCAGCAGTAGCAGGAAGAAGAGGAGCAGAATGATCATGAGGACCAGGGGAAGGCGGGGGAAGGGGAATGGAGGGGGTTGACAACGACCAAGAAACACTCGGATCCACAGGTGTGGCTCGCGCTGGGGCGAGAGTTCCATCCTGAGCGACGGGAGCAAAGCGCGGATCCTAAAATGGCACCGAAGCACGAGCTGGAGTACCACTTGAAATAAAATTAAAATTGTTTAATTGAAACAAAGACGAGTTTCTGACACAGAAGACTACCCTCCCTTTTCCCGATGCACTAAAAAGGGAGTATGCGGGCAATCATGTTCCCTTTCGGATAGAATCAGGGGAGAAAGGAGAGTTAGTCAAAGATTGGGGGGTGAGACCGAAGTGAAACGTCAGGTGCTCCAATCGGGACATGGATTTTGGTTGCGGCTCGCGTCCTGCGTGATGCGCGCGTGGGCGAGGTGAGGTGAAGCTGCGCGAGCTCGTCCCCTGGCCAGGGCCAAGTCAGCAAGAAAGTGTCGCACTGGGCCTCGCCGTGGGGTGAATCTTGTCCCGGTGGTTGCCACGATGGTTGTACCGAAGGTTGTCCCGATGATTCTTCGAGGCCGTACTACCAGACATCCGCGACGCGAGGCAAGCATGCAACAGTTGCGCCTTGCCGGGCCACAGTGCTCAAGCATGCGCCCTGCTGCTAAACATACACAAATGGCACAGCACAGACAGATACAGATATAGTGAGAGACATAGATCGGCTGATTGATGGACATGGGTTGAACGACAGTGGCACGTATATATATATATATGTATATATATATATACATAGCTAGTCGCAGCCCCCCCCAACGTCCATTGATTTTGCATCGGTCGTTGAGCCGCTCATTCCTTCTCTCATTAGTCGTCGTACCTCTCTTCATCCGTCCCTGCTCGTTCGCCCTTCCTTTAGAGCGAGAGCCACTGTTTGAAGACCACCCGCCCTCGACCAGTTTTTCAGCCTCAGGCTCATAAGTGGTCAGGAAGTCTCAGGCGAAACGCCTGGCCCGCCCTTCCGACTGGTCTCGGTGCGCGAAAGGGAGGAGTTACTTCTACGGAAAAGGAATGGAGGAGGATGAGGAGGAGGAGGCTAGTATTATCATGGTTATAATAATTATTATTACGTTCACTACTATTGTTCTTAACGGTACATGTCTATGATGTTTGCGATTACGGCTACGACTACGACGACGACGATTATTTTTAATTTTACTACAACTACAACTGCTACTACTACTACTACTACTACTACTACCACCACTACGACTACTACTATTACGACGACGACTACTACTACTACTACTACTACTACTACTACTACTACTACTACTACTAGCACTACTACTACTACTACTACTACTACTACTACTACTACTACTACTACTACTACTACTACTACTACTACTACTACTACTACTACTACTACTACTACTACTACTACTACTACTACTACTATACTACTACTACTACTACTACTACTACTACTACTACTACTACTACTACTACTACTACTACTACTACTGCTACTACTACTACTACTACTACTACTACTACTACTACTACTACTACTGATTACTATTACTACTACTAGCACTACTACTACTACTACTACTACTACTACTACTACTACTACTACTACTACTACTACTACTACTACTACTACTACTACTACTACTGCTACTACTACTACTACTACTACTACTACTACTACTACCACTACGACTACTTCTACGACTACTACTATTACTTCTGAGCGAAAACCAACGCCTCAGCTTTCGGGGCACGGGAATCTTGAACAGCGTTGTGGCAACGCGATGTTTGCGGAGCAGGGGGTGGGTGGGCAAACCTTGTGATTTCAGAGATTGTTGATATGTTTGTGATGGGAATTGCAGGAACCATGTGATTTCAAGCAGATGTGTCAGTGCTTTAGTTTTTTTTGTCCACCTCTGAGCGAAAACCAACGCCCCAGCCTTCAGGGCACAAACATTTCAAACATCTCTGTGACAACACGAGGTTTGCGAAGCAAGAGGGCGCCACACCTTCTGATTGCATATAGATTTTAGAAATGCAGAGGCCTGGGGGGGCTGCATCGTGGATTTTCGCTCGGAGGTGCCAGAAACAAACAATCTCCCAAATCTCCGTGAAATCATCTGGTTTCTGTGATTCCCAAATCAAAAATATCAAACATCTCTTTGGCAACACAGGGTTTGCGAAGCAAGGGGATGTCAAACCATGTGATTGCATGGTGATACTTGAGATTGGTCGGGTGGAATCGCAGAATTCATATGAATAGATTGTTGATTGTTGCTGTTTGTGGCACCTCTGAGCGGACACAAACGCCTCAGCCTTCAGGGCACAGAAATCTCAAACATCGATGTGAAAACACAGGGTTTGCTAAGCAAGGGGATACCAAACCCTGTGATTTCACATGGATTTTTGAGATTCGGAGACCTGGGGGGCTGCAGCGTGGATTTGCTTTCGGAGGTACCACAAACAAAAGACCAAATGTCGTTGTGAACTCCATGGCTTCTGCGGTTCCCAAGCCAATGATATCACACATCTCTTTGACACCACAGGGTTTGCGAAGCAAGGGGGTGCCAAACCATGTGATTGCATAGAGATTGTTTGAGACTTGGAGACCTGGGGGGCTGCAGCGTGGATTCTCGTTCGGAGGTGCCAGAAACCAAAACGCTACAAACTCTCTGTGGATTTGTATGGTTTGTGAAATCATATTGTTCCTGTGATTTCCAAGCCAAACATTATTAACCATCTTTGTGCACACACGAAGTGAAAGTTCAAGCATCCTTGTGCAAACGCAGGGCTTGCGAAGCAAGGGGGTGCCAAACCATGTGGTTCCACATGGTTTTTGATGTTCGGAGGCACGGGAGGGGGGAGCAGCGTGGGTTTCGTTCGGAGGTGCCAAACCAACAACACTATACACAATCTCTGTGGAACCATTTGGCGTTTGCGGTTCCTAAACCAAGAATTTTAAACATATCGTTGAAACCGCATGGTTTGCGAAGGAATGGGGTGCCAAACCTTGTGGTTGTAATGAGATTTTTGAGATTCGCAGACCTGAGAGGCTGCAGCATGGAGTTTTCTCTCGGAGGTACCAAAAACCAAACATCTCCCAAACCCACGTGAAATCATATGGTTTCTGCGGTTCCCAAACCAAGAATTTCAAACATCGCTGTGGAAACATAAGTTTCGGTGGCCCATCGTGTGTGCAGAATGGTCGCCGCAAGCTCTGGGCTTTCTTTTCGGAGGAAGGCGCCGTGTGCATCTTCTACAGTGCGCTGCCGTTCGGCGTCGGCCAGCCCGTGTTTCCATATATATATATATATATATACATGTATACCTACACATGCAAGACGGCGTAGGCGTCTGGGGGGCCTAAACCAGGTGCCCAAAACCTCTGTGGGTGGAAGTTGGACAAGGAGACCCGCCACGCTGGCCGCCAGAGGGCCCCAGAGGGCCCCACGACCGCCCTGGAACCCGCCCACACGGCCCCTGATTGTCTCCAAACCGCCAGAGACAGGTCAAGACGGCTCCATGACGGCCCCCAAAAGGCCCCCAACAGGCTCACAAGAGGCTCCCAAGAGGCCCCCGGGAGGCTAACAGCCTTCCAAGACCAATGGGGACCCATGTTTTTCAACATCTCACCTCAGCACGTCCGAGGAGCCTCTGAGGCCTCAGGATAGTCCAACATCGGCCGTCCAGGAGCCCGAGGAACGACCAAGACGGTCGATTGGAGCTGGCAAGACTTTTCAAGATCGTTCCGAGACGGCCGAAGATGGCTTTGAGTTTCGAGACGGCCATCGAGATTGCCAAGACGGCTCCAGATGGCCTCCAGGCAGCCCCAGAGTTTAAGATCGCCCCCGGACAGCCAAAAACGGCCCCCAAGAGGCTCCCAAGAAGCTTCAGAAGGCACCGATGAGACGACACTCCTTCACGCGCAAATGCAGACTGTAGGTTTTCTTGGGGAACTCTCATTTCCGTTTCCGAGGGGCCTCTCAGGCCTCAGCATGGAAGAAGTGGCCCACCAGGAGCCCCATAGTTGCCCAAGACGGTCCCCTGGGGCTGTCAAGACCGTTCCAGATGGTTCCGATACGGCCTCCGCAACCATTTTGGCTCGAGGGCTCCCCCCCCCCCATCCAATACTTCTGAGAGTGCGGAGCGATACACATTTCTTTTCGGGGAGGATCCTTCCGTGAGCCATGAGCCATGAGCCATCGCGTCAGTCGGCCATGAGCCATCGGGTGAGCTCGGCCAGCACCTGCTCGAATGGCAAGACGCTGGCAGAGAGGCGCCCGAAGTCAGGGCGCCAGAGCACGCAACGCGCGACCACAGAGCGCGCGGACACGGGCCGCTCGCAAACGCATTCGCGCGCGGTCACGCCAGGCGAGGACCTTCACACCCGCATCGGAGCCGAGAGATGGTGCATCACGAGAGCTGACCTGAGCCGGCTGCGCCGGGACGTGAGAACAGCGGTCGCGCAAGGAAAGATCCGGAGCACGACAAACGATCCGTTCGACCCTGAGGACACCAAAGTTGGCCCAAACATATACACAGTCGTCGATCAGTTGATAAAGCCCATGACGGATGTCGATGGACCTTCTGGCGGGGCCAGCTATGCTCTCACGCATCACCCTGATGGCATCGATTGCGAGGTATTTATCACACATGCGTGGTGTGAAGGCGTTTACGAGTTCATTGATAAAGTTCTCGCGTCCTGGCCTTGGGGCAAACGTTCTGCTTACGCTTGTATGCTGTCCAACCCTCAAAACGGCGATTTCCTCGCAAGCATGATATCGGACCCTTCGTCATCGCCATTCGCCCGTGCGTTGTCACACGCTACCCACGTGATTGCGGTGCCAAACCAGACCGTCGGTATCTACACCCGTCTATGGTGTTGCTACGAGGCTTATCTTGCTTACGTTTGGGATAAGGAAATCTTTACTGCGTGGACGCCGGTGGGGACCAAAAGAGGATTGAAAACCGTAGGTGGCCCATTCTTGGTGACGGTTGTCACTGCGGCTCTGGGCATGGTCTGTGTGACTGATGGAATGTTGCGCTCGGACTTGATAGGAAAAGTGATTTGGTGGGGCACCATGCCTGCGTTAACGATCTCTCTTGTGCACGCCTCGCTTTCAGCACCAGGCCTGCGACGCACCGTGTCCATTTACATGTCCTCCGTGCTTGTGGCGTTCAACGGATGCGCGATAGTTCGGCGCCAATGGATTCCCAACTTTCCATTGGAAGGTACTCTGTCCAGCACAGCACTTGTAACAACTATCGGTTGGATCTGGGTATCAATCGTGCCCATCCTCTTGGCGATAGACGGCGTTCGAGGGACACTACGCAAGACAGACCTTGGGCGGCTTGGCCTTGGTTTTAGTGGCACTGTCCGTGAGTCCACGTGCGCACTGGAAGACGATAGGGAGAACATATTCGGATGTATTGGGGATGAAGCTACAAGCGTCGATCTGTCCATCGGTGTGCTGCTACAGTCTGGCATGTCAACTGCATCTATGCGAAAGGCCGCGAGCTTGGGGATCGCCGTCGAGAGATTGTGCTTCATTCAGTGGGGGCCAGCTTACCTGCTGTGGTCAACCTGGATTATTTTATGCTTGGGCCTGTACAGGCCAGGATTACTCCAGGTGGAGTCCGCGGCCGACATAGTATCGTGGCAAACAGCACAATGCTTTTATCCTGTAATGCATCTCATTGTTTACGCGGCGTCTGCCCGGGACCACAAAAGTTTCATTGTCTATGTCACGTACAAATTGTTGATTTGGTTGGTGGCACTGGATATGCTTGTCAACACGTTGGGTCTGACCGCGATGTATCAACCCATTGCCATTGCGTACAACGTATTCGGCATGTTGTCGTTAATCATCAGTGCCATGGGCTTGGGTGGGCTGGTGTCCATTCCACTGGTTGGACAGCACTGCGCACGCTGGCTGGTCGGTAAAGTTCCGCCCGTTGAGGACATTCATGGTGACGCGGTTACAGTGTAGAAATAGGGCTTGCCCCCTCTGGACATGTTCCTCTTCCGTCTCCCTCCTCGCTCTTCCCGCTTTGCGTCTCCCGTTTCCCTCGTCGCGTTATGCATCTTCTCGTCCAGGAGCCCAAGACCACCCCCAGGTGCCCCCATGCTGGTCCCTGAAGGTCCCCCTTGGGAGTCTCTCTCGGAAGCATGGGCGTGGCAGAATCGGGGCCGTCCAAGCCACACCAGCATCGCTCAGGCGCTGTGTTCCTTGAGAGCGTGCTCCGGCTTCTCTCCTGGGTCGGCGCCGGAGCGCCCCCGCTGGCGTGCGGAGCGTACCGCGGGTGGCGCCGGTGACTGATGGGCCTGCTTTCCACCACCACCACCACAAGTTGGAGGGGGAGGGGGTCCTCCTCCTTCTCCTCCTTCTCCTTCTCCTCCTCGTCTTCCTCCTCGTCCTCCTCCTCCTTCCCCCCTCCAACTTATGGTGGTGGTGGTGGAAAGCAGACCCAGCAGTGACGCCGCCCTGGAGGCCCAGCGCCGATGCAGGACTTCCGCGCGGAGTTCCAGAAGCAGACTGCTCCTGCCTGTTCAGGCGGTGAATTCGGTTTGTTTCTCGTCGGCCACGGAAATCGGCGTGCTTGTTTTGCCTCAAGCACCGATCAGGATTGCGATCGGGATTGTTGGCGAAGACGTCGGTTTGCGGCGTGGTTTGCGGCACGCGGCGAGGTATCCAGACCCGCGTGGCCGCCTATTCTCCGCCGCGAGAGCTCGTCCCCCCTCGGCGAGCAGGACAACTACTTCAGTTCGCACGATTGCGGTCTGTTGCGCGGCTTGGTGTGGCGGCCAGCAGCCGTGCGCATATGTTTGCAGTATTTTTCCGGAGGTGCGTCATTTCTCAATGAGGCGTTGTCTCAGGTTTGCTTGCGTGCTTGAGAGAGGAAGGGTTGGGCAGCCTTAGGGCCACAGTTTCGATGTGCACGGCTGCGGTCTGTTGCGCGGCTTGGTGCGGCGGCCAGCAGCCTTGCCCAGCGCCGCCGATCCGAGGCGCTCCTGATGTTATTAGGAATGGACGGTGACGACGACAACGGAGGACCAACGATCGACGAGCGGGATAATTACGACAACGACCGAAGAACGGGGTAACGACCACGATTGACGACGACGATGACGACGACGATGATGACGACGACGAACACGAATACGAACACGAACACGAAGACGACGACGACGACGACGACGACGACGACGACCAGGACTCATGTCCGAGCAATATCACGTCACACCATGCACATCTTGCCTGGCAGCACACGACTGAGCGCCTCTTGGGGCCTCCGGGCTCTTGGGGGCTTCTGGGGGGCTTTCAGGGCCTTTCTGGGGCTTCTTGGGGTTTTCTTATGGCCTCTTGGAGATCTCTTGGGGGCCTAGGGGGGCCTCTTGGGGTTGTCTTGGGGGGGAGGACTGGAAGGGTCAATTCGGGCTCATCCTCTTCAGGCCACCGGGGGGCCTCTCGGGGTCGTCTTGGGAGCTCCCTGGGCTGTCTTGGGGCCGTCTTGGGCCGTCCTGGCACCTCCTCGGGGCCTCTTGGGATATCTGGCGACGATCTTGGTGGCCTCTTGGACGGCCGTCGGCGCTTTGAATACCGAAAAGGCGATAATCTCAAAATGTAACAAAAATTCAACATGATTCTGACGATTTTACCCTGCCCCCCCTCCTCCCCCCTCTCTTCCGGAACCGGAGAACGATTCGCACTGCTGCGGTCTGTTGCGCGGCTTGGTGCGGCGGCCAGCAGCCGTGCGCATATTTGTTCAGTATTTCCTCGGAGGTGCTTCATTATCCAGTGAGGCGCTGTCTCAGGTGTTCTTGCTTGCTTGAGAAAGAATGCATTGGGCAGCCGTAGGGTCACAGTTTCCAAGACAGCTTGCAATATCAGTCCAAAACGTATGTAAATACATATGCGACCACCTTTCGGGTGATAGGGAGGTTTTGGGGTGGGGGGGAAGAACCAATTGGTGGCAAATACGATGGGTGTGATGATGATGATATTGGTGACGCGCCCTCGAGTTAGCGACGACGCGTGATGACGATGTTGCGCTGCGATTAATGTCACTATCGTCCCCGCTTTCGATCTCACTCGATCGATCTCACTATCGACTACAAGATCGATCACATTCGATCGATCTTACTATGGACTTCGCCATCGATTTCACTAGATCTGACTATAGATCTCGCTTTCGATCTCATCATCGATCTCACTATCGATCTCATTATCGACTCGCGCATCGATCTCACTACCGAGCTCACTATCGATCTCACAACCATTGTCACAATCAACCTCGTGTTCGATCTTCTGTTTGATCTCACTATCCATCCCATTTTAGCGATCTCATTATCGATCTCACTGTCGACTTCACTATCGACGCCAAGGCGGGACATCCCCCGCCACCGCCCGCCCACCGCCGACGGAACACCGACGGGACACCAACGGGACAGCAGCGGGGCACCACAGGTAACCACGGCGGGACACCCCGGGCCACCGCGCGCCCACCAGGGGCGGAGGGGCGGTCCATTGCATCCGAATCGCCCTAGCGACGGCGGGGTCATTCCTTTCGCGCGTCCACGCAGCTTCGCCTCGCATGCACGGTACGAACACGAAACCGAAATGGAGTTCCCGGTGAGGGGGTCTCCGTTCCGTTGCGATCTCATTTGCCAACCTCCGAAATGTACCTGAATTCGTGGCGGTCTTCGTAATTTCGGTGCCCAGAGCGCTTGCAGGCGGGCGGCTGAGATTGGGCGGCTCGATCCTGGGTCCATGCTTGAACCTTGCCGTCTAAACCGTCTGGCGCAAGGCGTTTAACTGCGCACGGGGTGTTTAGCGGCGTTGGCAAGTCGACTAGATATCCATCTGCGTTGCCGCAACTGGGAGGTCGAGGACAGGTGTACACTTTTTCGGCATTACCCCTGATGTTGCTTGACTTACTTGCTCAGCGTCCGCTTTGCCAGTGGGCATGGCTATCATACAAGAGCCCACAGGGCTGAAGGCGCAATCCATGTATGTGACGAAGTCTGGAATGCGACCCTTGCTCCTCACTGTGCCCTCCCCTCCCTTATGCTTATCGTCCTCTTCCTCATCCGCATTGCGCACATCTTCGTTTCAGCAAAGCATTTACTTTGCAGAACTGTGCAGCAGAGGACTTCATGGATGATCAGTGCAGAAGGCCTTACCGTGACAGGACGAGTGTCTTGTTACCTTACCCTGCGCGCCCGTACTGGTTTTGGTTGCGAAGGTGTCCCTGCCTAGGTTTGGGTGTCCGGTGCAGGTCCTCCAGAGTTAGAGCAAAACCGGAGACCTTGAGCTTTGCAATGCTCGGCATGCAATGTTCGGACCTTGAGACCGTCGACCAGGGACTCTTCTGCACCACACGGGCCTTCCATTCCGTCTCCATCCCCACGCGCTCCTCTCCCAGGTGCTCCAGGACGAGGCTCTGGCACCGCATCTGACTGAAGGCTTTGTACATCGGACTGTCCGCATTGGTTGTCGTCCGTTCGTTCATCACCTTCCCTATCCGCCCTTCTCTTCCGCCTGCTCACTCACCTTCGCCTCATAAATTGTATCATAGGCTCAGGGCCGCGACTGCAGTTCCCAGCGTCCACTGAGACGCTTCCATTTTGATTTCACGTGCTGCTAGCTTGCCTTGGCAGCGCGAACCGTATCCATTGCCTGTGCAAGTCCAGCTACATGTATTGAACGACCCTCGCGAAGGCCAGGGGATCGTGCGGACTTGAGTTTCACATCCGTCATTCTTTATCACTGGTTGCGAAGAGCAGTCAAAAAAAACTTGCTCCGAAACGGCCGAAGATAGCTTCGAAAAGATCCCCGAGCCCGCCAAGACGGTCCCAGCTAGCCTCCAGACGGTCCCAGACAGCTCAAGGTGGCCCCAAGACGGCCCCTGGAGGTGTCCATGAGGCTTCCAAGCTGCCCTCATGATGCCCAAACCATTCACAAACCTAAGGAAAACCATACATTTCTGAAGGTCTCGCCTTTTCGCTCCCGAGAGGCCGCTGAGGCCTCAGGATAATCCGAGAATGACCCTGTAGAAGCCTCAGTGAAGCCCAAGACGGTCGACTAGGGCCCCCCAGACCTTTCCAGATGGCTCCGAGATGGCCGAAGATGGCTTCGAGATGGCCCTCGAGACCGCCAAGACGCCCCCAGATGCCCTCCACACGGCCCCGGACAGCTCCCGATTGCTCCAAGACGGCCCACCACGCCCCCAAGCAGCTCCCAATACGCTTCCTAGAGGACCCTAGGAGGCCAAAATCCTTCACTGCCGACGGCTCTTCCGAGCTCCCCTCACCCAGCTGGGCCTGATGTTCCCTGTCACTCCCGACGGCCCGTCCGAGTCTCTCCACGCAGAAGGCCTGTTGTTCTCTCGGATATCGACGTGGGGCCCCCCTGGCGGCGTCTCCGGCGCCGCTCGCCGGCGCGCTCCGCACGCCTGCGAGCGGGGCCCAGCGTCACATCAAGGAATCTTCGCAGGCCTTGGGCAGGGAATGTTGATGCGAACTTCCTCTTCGTCTTAGAAGTATGATTCGCAATCGTTCGTTTACGTTAGTAATAATTTGTCGTATTCGTGTTATTCTCGTCTTTTGCGTATTATTATCTTCACTCTGGATGCTATTCGTATTCGTAGGTTTCGTCTTATCATGATTCGTGCCATTGCTTGCGAGGGTAAGTATGCATGTCAAACTTATGTGTGTTGTCATACTTATGCTGACGAGTATGTTTTAGTATGGTTATTGGTATTACTATCATATTTTAGGGATGTAAGTGTTCGTCCCCTTTGTCCCCTTCGTATTATTATTCGTTTTCTTTTTGTGCTTCGTCTTCTTCCTCTTCTGCTTTCCACTTCCAAAGGCCAAGTGGTCCTTGTCGCCACCAGCTTACCAGCCGCCGTGGTGGAGGCGGATGCCGCGACGCCCGACGGAGAGGGCGTCTGTCCCCGATATTGGGGAGTCTCGTCAGCACGGAAGCTGTTCGCCGGGGTTGGCTTTCGCTGGCCTTCGTTTCGCCGGGTTTCGTTTCGCCAGGCTTCAAGCAATGGCGAAGCGTCTTGGCTCGCCTACAGGCCTACCAAAGAATGTTCGAATAACCTTTTGTGGCTTCAACGAAATATTCCTAGAACATTTCTGGCTGGGACTGTCTTGTTTCAACACATCGACTTTCTGTTCCAAGAAAATTGTTTTTGTGCTTAGAACACTGCTGGGTTCCGATAAGAATGCCTGGACGGTCGGTCCTTGCTCAAAGGCTCGCTTCGCGGGGGGGTGGCTTTCGCCGGGGTTGGCTTTCGCCCGGGTTTGGCTTTCGCCAGGGTTGGCGTTCGCCAGAGGTTGGCGTTCGCCGGGGGTTGGCTTTAGCCGGGGGTAGGCTTTCGCAGGGGGTTGGCTTTCGCCAGGGGTTGGCTTTCGCCGGGAGTTGGCTTTCGCCAGGGGTTGGCTTTCGCCAGGGTTGGCTTTCGCTGGGCTTGGCTTTCGCAGAGTATTGGCTTTGGTTGGCTTTCGCCGGGGACGGGCTCCAACGGGCGGGTCGGGTCAGGCGGTCGGACCCTGACGGGCGGAACGGGTCGGGCCAGGCCGGGCGGACCCTAACGGGCGGGTCGGGTCGGGCAGGCGGGACGCTAAAGTGTGAGGGGCGCGCTCGAGCGAGCACGCGTGAGCCCTAACGGGCGGGTCGGGTCGGGCGGGCGGACACCAACGGGCAGGGCTGGTCGGGTCGGGCTGGGCGGACCTTCAGGGGCGGGTCGGGTCGGGTCGGGTCAGGCGGGAAACTAAAGTGTGGGGCGCGCCGGAGAGAGCACGCGTAAACCTTGATGGGCGGGTCGGGTCGGGCGGACCCTAACGGGCGGGACGGGTCGGGTCTGGTCGGGCGGACCCTCACG